ACAGGATGTTTGTGTTACTGTGTTCCGTGAGGTGGGACTATTGTCCTTTGTTCTTTCTCTCTGCTGTCTGATGCTAGAGAGAGAGAGAGCCATGTTTCAGTGCTCTCTGTGTGTTTATATGTAAATAAAGTAGATTAGCCAAAATGCTGAGTTCTGTTACGCAAACTGCGAAGACCCTGAGGATCCCTAAGTGTGCCGATGTCTGTTGGCATCGGTCGCTGTGATGTTTGGGCAGAAGAAAGCTTTTGAATGTCCCAAACAATCGACCAGGAGGGAGGGAACATGCCGGTCGGGTATGTGTCTCTGCCAGGGTCCTACTCGAGAGTAGGACGAGCTCCTGACAGTGGGGTGGGGACAAAAGGAAGAAATAGGAAATGGGAAAAGCGAAGAAGATGGTGGAAATTGCTTCCCTGGGAATCCAGAACATGCTATTGACTTTTGTTTTGTCAGCCTGGCAGGTGACTAGCTTCTAGCTAGTGTGTTTCTGAAATGGAGTTCTTCGCATTAGGAATATATTTCCCATTAGGCGCTCCACGGGCAGATCTATCATTCATTTATCAGTGATAGGGCCTCTGAGTGCAGTGTCTTGGAAACATTTTGTTTGAAATACGTATCTTTTCCCCCTTCCCCTCTCAGCCAGGCTGTTTAATTTAGCGAACAAAGCTGTCACAGAGAAAGGGAGAGAATGAGGGAGAGAGGAATCTGCCGTCTCCCCAACACACCCCAGGCAACGGCTCCGTGTGCAGCTAAACAAATAAATAAATAAAATATGCCCATGGTGTGCGGCTGCAAAGAATTACACAAGAAGCCTGTTCTCAGGGTTTCGGTTTTTTAGTGCCCACACAACAAAGTGAGGGACCTCAGACCTGACACACCTGGGGTGGGTGGGGTGACAAATGATAGTATAACCCCCCCCCCGAAATTATACAAAAGTATTTGAAGCGCCTCTGTTTTCTGAGATGATGCTTCCCCTGAGGGATAACACTGCCTTTGAATTACTGTGCGCCTTCGGTCTGCTTGCCTGGAATATTGAAAAGGGTATGTTTGCACCGTCCAAGAGAGTTGCTCGAGCTTATCTGGGTTGCAGCTTGTGCTGTCTCCACCTAATACCGTGATCTGTATCACTTAGTGCTGAAATTAATTGATCATCTACTTATGTATTAAAAGGCATTCCGATCCCACTGTCCTATCAGAATAGGTGTTTGAAGCAGCTAACCGTTCAACAAACAAATTGTTAACAGCCACAAACACTTCAGCACCATATACTGTACCTACAGACAATCTGATTTGCTGAAAGGCAATCAATCAAGAGACTGAGTAGGTTGCAACCACCAAAAGGGCCCTTTTTGTGGGACTAAGTATGGAATTAGCCATATGTATGGGAGGAAGCAGTTCTTAAGGTATCCTGGTCCCACCCTCTATAATAATAATAATAATAATAATAATAATAATAATAATAATTTATTTATACCCCTCCCATCTGGCTGAGTTTCCCCAGCTACTCTGGGTGGCTCCCAATTGAGTGTTAAAAACAATACAGCATTAAATATTAAAAACGTCCTTAAACAGGGCTGCCTTCTCTTAAAAATAGGATAGCTGCTTATTTCCTTGACATCTGATGGGAGGGCATTGCACAGGGCGGGCGCCACTACCGAGAAGGCCCTCTGTCTGGTTCCCTGTAACCTCACTTCTCGCAATGAGGGAACCACCAGAAGGCCCGCGGCGCTGGATCTCAGTGTCCGGGCTGAACGATGGGGGTGGAGACGCTCCTTCAGGTATACAGGACTGAGGCCATTTAAGGCTTTAAAGGTCAGCACCAGCACTTTGAATTGTGCTCAGAAACATACTGGGAGCCAATGCAGATCTCTCAGGACTGGTGTTATGTGGTCCTGGCAGCCACTCCCAGTCACGAGTCTAGCTGCCGCATTCTGCATTAATTGCAGTTTCCTGGTTACCTTCAAAGGTAGCACCACGTAGAGCGCATTGCAGTAGTCCAAGCGGGAGATAACTAGAGCATGCACTACTCTGCCAAGACAGTCCGCGGGCAGGTAGGGTCTCAGCCTGCATACCAGATGGAGCTGGTAGACAGCTGCCCTGGACACAGAATTAACTTGCACCTCCATGGACAGCTGTGAGTCCAAAATGACTCCCAGGCTGCACACCTGGTCCTTCAGGGGCACAGTTACCCCATTCAGGACCAGGGAGTCCCACTCGCCCGTCCCCTGTCCCCCTTAAACAGTACTTCTGTCTTGTCAGGATTCAACCTCAATCTGTTAGCTGCCATCCATCCTCCAACCGCCTCCAGGCACTCACACAGGACATTCACTGCCTTCACTGGTTCTGATTTAAAAGAGAGATAGAGCTGGCTTTAGGCACAGAGAAAGGCTGTTTCATTTTCCCAGGCTGATGTATGTTCCCGTGCCCTGATTGTCTTTGCTGTGATTGTGGGCTGTATTTTAGGGGCTCTCCAGATTCCCATTTAATTGCACCTTTATAATGATTCGGGCTCACGATGCTGTCAGGGCAGTCATACACAATCCTGATTTCAATACTGCCGGTTCCTGCAAATGTTCTGGGGCAGTCACACGGCTTCATTTTTAAATCAGTGCATATCCTGTAACTTCCTGCTGAAACGTTCTAACTTTTTTTATTGCCGTATACATTCTGATTTACATTTGCCTCATTTTTATTGCACTACAGGCCAGCAATGATGCGGCCGCCTTGGGCAAGAATCACAGAACAGCCAATAAAAGCAGGATAAATCCACCACTAATATACTCTTCCTGGCTCAAGAGCATGTTGCACAATGCACCTGCAATAAATCATTAGTCTGGAGAGGCCCTTACTGCTTTATTGTGTTTTAATAGTTACTGCAAACTATCCTAGAGCTTGGTCATGTGGTTCTGCGGCAGGCTCTCAAAGGGCAGGTCCCTTGAGTGGCCGGTTGTGTTCCTACACATGAGCACACTCTCTTGTTCTGTAACGCAGCATTCCATCCAGGTGGTTCATATCTAGGTGTCTAGATAGTTGAGTAACTTTTTTGGATTTCTCCCTGCAACAGGAATGGAAGGTTCAGGCATAGCCGAAGAGGCAGCCTACAACCTCAAACAGTAAACGTTTTGACTTAAGGATCCTAATTCATCACTGATAGCCAGCCCAGGCTTATTATTCTGGCCACTGAACGGCCATCTATTTTGTGTCCTGCTGTCATTTATACTACTCAAGTTGATGCTGTGTAGTAGTTCATCAGACGCTTGAAAATATTAATTGCTGCGTCCTCTGGCAAGGACTGCAGTTCAGCTACATGTTCTGCCTGATTACGAAGGAACTGCAGTACTGTTTTACCGGTAGGTTTTTCCTGCTATATACTTTGGCTTGTTGTGTTTCAGAAGTGAGTTGATTAAACAAGTAAAAAAAAACATTTTTTCTACATACGCCATTGGCTTATCACTTTTGGTTCCCATTGTTAAGTACTCTTACTATTACGCTTAGATCACTGCATATTTGGAAAACTGCTGAGGAGTGGCCAACTCCTGAGGGACTGCAATCTGCTTTCAGAATTAAAATCCAGCAGTGATCTACCACCCTTTTTAGAGGTTCAGCTCAAAGTTGTTGAGCTTTCATTTAGGGAGGGGAAATGCCTCGTTTTATACCCATTTTGTTGAGCTTCCGCTTTGGGGGGGGGGACTTTTAAGGGGGAAGGGCTGTGGAAGCATTTGGCTTCCACCAAAACAGCGCTGTGGAAGCATTTTGCATCACAGCAAAAGTTCCATCTTCCGTTACAGAGATCAGGAGAAAATCCAGGCAGGGGAGGGGGCAGGGCCGGGAGCTCTTAATAATAATAATAATAATAATAATTTATTTATATCCCGCCCTCCCCAGCCGAAGCCGGGCTCAGAGTGGCTAACAACAGTAAAATAATAAAACATTCTAAAATCATTTCATTATAAAATTAATTCCAATCAAATTAATGGCAATTAGTTCTGTGAGGATTGCCAAAGGAGGGAGTCAGGCTGTGCCCTTGCCAAAGGCCTGGTGGAACAGCTCTGTCTTGCAGGCCCTGCGGAAAGATGTCAAGTCCCGCAGGGCCCTTGTCTCTTGTGACAGAGCGTTCCACCAGATCAGAGCCGCAGCCGAGAAAGCCCTGGCTCTGGTTGAGGGCAGCCTAACCTCTCTATGGCCTGGGACCTTCAAGATGTTTTTGTTTGAAGACCGTAAGTTCCTCTGTGGGACATACCAGGAGAGGCGGTCCCGTAGGTACGAGGATCCTAGGCTGTATAGGGCTTAGGCAAAAGCAAAGGGAAATGAGCCCGCGATCGACAGCAATCGACTGCAACCTCCCGGGGATCGACCAGTCGATCCCAATTGACCTGTTGGACATCCCTGATCTACACTATCAGGGGGCTCACTGCCAAGAGTTCTGTAGATCTCTGCTGCTTCTTCATTGTTGCAACTACTGGCTTACTCGACCTCTGTAGGGTTCCAGCCTCATATAACTCTAGCATTTTTTAATCCAATTAGTGCATGAAGGGGTTAAAACCATAGACTAAGCTGTCCTGCCAGGCTTAGCATAAGTCATCACTTCCCACCTTGAAAGGAAGTGGGTCACCAAGGCGTTTTTATCTCTCACTATCCATGTGGATTTCAGTAGGTAAGGAGCTCTGTAAGAGAAGGAAAATGGAGTCTGAAACTAGAGTTTTTCTCTATACCAGTAGTTTAGAAACTTTTACATTTTATAGCTAAGCAACGTTTTCACTGTCTGTGCATCTTTCCTGGCTGCTGACCTTTGAAGAGTTTTGTAAGTAGACCATTTTACGAATTAGACAAAGTGTGGTCTCTCTCTCTATGCTAGGGAAATGGGATAGCTTGGGGATATTTTGGGACTCGGGTGAAGGGCACATTTTAAAGGTTTTACAAGCCTTTATTTCCATGCTTTTCTTTGCTGCATGTTTTGTGATGTTAAATCTGTGCTGGGGTTCTCTCACCAAAGAGTACACGCCCCAAACTTGTGTCTTGGCTTCCAGGATTCCAGCACGACCACCTCTTGGTCTGGACCAGTCAACATTGGTTGAGGAAAAGGCAGTGGAGAAGCTGGTGGTAGCAATGCTGAGAAGAGAATGAGAATCAAATGGTGAAGAGGGGACCAGGGGAGGGGACTTGCCTAAGGACCCTCCAAAATTTGGACTCTGAGCTACAGAGTTAGAGTCACAGAGCTACAATTTACAGACTTCCCTGTGAAGAGCAATTGATAGTTAAACCACTTTGGGAATGACCGCTCCCCACATTAAATGGGGGGCGCCCTTTGCGTGGTTGCGCGCAGCCCCCTGGACCCTATGCGGCACCATTAGCACAGGCTTGGCTTCACCTTCCCCTGGTGGGATACCTGGAGGTCTCCACCTACCTCAGCCAGTTGCCCAATACCGCCTGGGGAGGTGTTGCCAAGGTGATCAGGCCAGGTAGGGGGAGGGACCACCCAATAGGGGGAGGATCTTACCTGGGAATCGTCAGTTGGCTCCAGAGCAGAACAGAATAGGTGTCTCTGATCAACTCTCGGCACCCTTAACAAACTACAACTCCCAGAATTCAGTCGGGACTGTTTAGAGGGCCATCATAGTGCTTTGAATGTATGGGATGGATGTAATGTGTCTTTTATCATCCGGCAGACATGAAATAAATATATTCCTTACTGGAATATTTTCGGAGATTAAAAGAGTAATGACCCCACACCGCTAAGCAGTGCTGAAAATGTTCTCCTCTTTTAAAAGCAAATATGTTGATTGCCATGTTGAAAGACTGCTTAATGATGTCAATTTCCAACTCGGCTACATTAAATTTGCTTCTCCAGCAATCTGTCATGCCTTATGTCCTAGTTATGCTGCAGCTCTGTGTCTCAAGGGGGAAAGGATAACCTTTGTGCCATTACCATCTTTACACAGCTGGAACTACCACTCTGTGCCCACCAGGATTCTCAAACAGATGTCCACACGAATGTCAACACTCCACGCGTTAGATCCAAACAAGCAGATGGGTTATTTAATTGCAATGCTGGAAAGCAAAATACAGTGTTTTATTGCAATAGCCAGATTCACTACACATTAAGTGCCCCCACACCCAATGGAAATGGCCCAGCTTGGTCTGGATAGTTGTAAGATGATCAGGGGTTTAGCTAAACATGGGGAGACAATCTTGGGTGTCCAAAAGACCTTGTATACCTGTCTTCTGAATTGCTCATTGCTCTTTTGCCCACCAGATTAGTATTGCCTGCTTCCTGTTCCTCCCTCTTTTGTTTGAACCATGTAACTAAGCACATGCACAAGGCTGGAGCTCGCTAGCCCAGACTCTGTGCTTGAAGATCCTTTTTGTATTTTGTACTGAAGTGGCTTTTGCCTGTGTTGTTTCTGCTGCCTGAGTGAGACCTGTGATTACTGTAAGTAGAGCATTCAAACTTACTGAAGTTTGTAGTCTTTCAGAGAGAGGCAGAGGCAAGGGGAGCACATTGTAAGCACTTAATTCTGGGACATCTACAAATCTGACAACCTATATTTCTCCCACATTGCAAATACTGCATAGGCTTGTGTTTTAAACTTTACTGGGGGCTGTTTTGGCTAAAGACTGAGTCAAGCCCCACACAGTTTTTCTTTAGTTCAGGCAGTCAGCTGTTTGTTTGTTTTCTTTGTAGTTCCCCACACATGTGGGACTTCAGGATTAATTGGTATTCACCAGTTATTTCCCAACAATTTAGCCCCCAGAATAGTTACTGTAGGAGCCAGGAAGTACCTAGCTCAAACCTTGCCTGAGGCTGCTTACACACACCATACATTTGAAGCACTTCCCCATAGAATAATAGGGATTGTATTTGGTTAAGGATTTTGGAAACTGTGGCTTGGGCAGGGCACATATGCTTTCAATGTATGCTGTGTACACAGCCTTAGCTATGCCAGCACCAGCCACCAGACACACAGCAATCTCTTCCTGCATGCATGAAATTACATATTCATACAACAGACACACACACTCTCTCACACACCAAACATACAATAAAATTACTCTAAAGCAGGGTTTCCCAAGCTTGGGTCTCCAGCAGTTTTTGGACTACAACTCCCATCATCCCTAGATAGTCAGGGATGATGGGAATTGTAGTCCCAAAACAGTTCCAGACCAAAGTTTGGGAAAGCTTGTTCTAAAGAAAGAGGAGTCAGAGGGATGTTTTATCTCTGATCTTTGCACTAAGCATCACAGAACTAAGATCATAGAGCTGCAGAGCTGGAAGGGACCTTGAGGAAGTCCAACCCCCTGCAATACAGGAATATGCAGGTGTCCCATAAGGGGGTCAAACCTGCAACCTTGGTGTTATCGGCACCATGCCCTAACCAACTGAGAAAGCCCATGCCTCCTTCTTAAGAGTAAAAGGCAGCATTTCTGCCCACCCCAACAGTGGGGTGAGCTGAAATAATACCTTTTCGTGTTGAGTTGGCAGAAGGCCTATCTCTGGTCTAAAAGTTCAGATCAGAGAGGCCTTTGCTGCTTTTTCCTTTCGAAGAGGGCTTGTCTTCGGTTTTATGCTGCAGTGGTTAAATCAGAAAGCAAAGATCCCTTTAACTGTCCTGTGCTTGGCATCATTTGGCAGGTGGGTGTGATTAACTTAAAATGGCCTTGCAGGCCCTGGGCCGGCTAATTAGGCTTATGGGCCACAGGTTCCCAAGCACTGCCAAACCATTTTTATTTTCAGCACAAATTCTTTAGATTAATACTGAGACCTGAAACCTGCAAGAAACAACTCCTTTATGGTAAGATGGAAGTTAACTGATGTTTCCTTTTATGTATGAGAGTGGCTTGAGTATATCTCTTAACCTCCTTTATCTTTGAAAATACACAGAATTTCAGCAAATCGTTTCTTTCATTGTACTTACCTCTGCAGGGATCATTAATAATGTACAGCAACGCTTCTCCTCTTTTGAATCTGTGACCTTATTACAATGCTGTGGAAGTTAAAAATGGGGAGAAAACAGTAATTGTGAACGGTTCAACAAAAGGCGATAGAAGCGGGGAGTTTACATACTTCTCCCCCCCGAGGATGCAGTGTCATCGACTATATTCTTGTCCCTTATAATATTATAAATTCGATCATGGACCTCAGAATTGGAACGCGTACTGAAAGCGACCATCAGCCATTATCGTTGTCTATTAACTTAAAGGACGAAACCAAAATAACCAAGTACAATATCATAGAACCTTCTCAATACAAACAAATGACTCAATTAAAATGGTCCCAGGAAATGAGTGCAGCAGTGGGGCAAAAACTTACAGCCAACCTGAGAAAACAAGTATTATCCAACTTAAAGACCACTAATTCCTACAGTGATATTCCGAAAATTTATAATGAAATCTTCCAAATGTTTGTAGAGCTTAGTACTCCACCTAAAGTTTGGGTACTTAAACATAGCGCTAGCCCCTGGTTTGACGATGAATGTTTCCAGCTAAAAAGAAAACTGCGCCAAACATTTAAAAATAATCACACTAAACTAGAGCCCTCTTATCTTGATGAAAAAAGAAAATATCATTACATTCTGGCCGAAAAGAAACAGAAATATGCAACCCAAAAATGGCTACAATTATTCGACTCAATTCAGAGTAAAAACAACAAAGCGTTCTGGAACCTAGTGTACGGAGGATTGAAAGCCGAAAATCAACTAACCCAACCACCAATTGCAGAATCCAAATGGTCCCAATACTTTACATCTGTATTTAACAATCTACACAGTGAATTTAAAGGAAATGAGACCACTAAAAATAAAATCAATAAACTCCAGGAGTGGCCAAGGGTAGAAGAAGTGGAAATTAGAGAGATAGTTAAAAATTTCAAATCGGGGAAATCTCCTGGGCCAGACGGTCTACCAATAGAATTATTCAAGACCTATATAGATTGGTGGGCAGAACCCTTAGCTCAATTGTTTACTCTCATAGACAAAGATGGGATCATACCTGAGATATGGTTAAGATCAATAATTATCCCAATCTTTAAAAATGGCGACCCAAAAGAACCAAGGAATTATAGACCGATAAGCTTATTATCAGTGATAGGGAAAATCTATGCTAAGCACCTTTTATCTAAACTCCTTACCTGGATGAAAAATTTAAATTTACCAGGGAAAGAACAAATAGGTTTCTCCAAAGGTTGCTCCACATTAGACCACTGCCTTATACTTATGCATTTGGTTGAAAAATACAGATCCCAAAGGCAATCTAAGATATATGCTGCTTTTGTAGATTTTCGTGGTGCATTCGACTCAATTGACCGCCCAAAGCTGTGGAGGAAACTCGCAGAATTAAAAATTGATCAGCGCTTATTGATTCTAATACAAAATCTATACTCTTCCAATGTCTGTCAAGTCAAACTTAACACCAAAGGTCACCTTTCATCAGACATCCCAAACTCGAAAGGGGTAAAACAAGGGTGTATTCTTGCCCCCTTTCTATTTAATTTATTTTTATCAGACTTGCCAGATCACCTTCAAAAAATAGAATCACATGCCCCTAAACTTAATCAGAAACCATTTCCTCTCTTATTATACGCAGACGATGCAGTCCTACTATCATTAATGAGCTTGGGTCTGAAACGTCTTATATCTTCTCTGATCCTTTACTGCGAATGTAATAAACTCTCTATAAATTATGAGAAGACAAAAAAAATTTGGTCTTCTCGAATGGTTGGAAATTAGAGAAATGGAAAATAAGAGGGCAAGAAATCCAACAAGTGAAAATCTATAGGTATCTGGGAATCTTATTCCAGAGCAATTTAGGGTGGGCAAATCATCGCACAAATGCCATAAAACAGGCAAAGTGCACCTCATCAGCAGTTGCCCGTTTTTATTATCAGAAAGGTAATCAATTTATTCCTGCGGCCAATCAGATATTTCAAACAAAAGTGCAAGCCCAGATACTCTATGGAATCCCGCTATGGGTCCAAGCATATAACAGTGATTTAAAAAAGATTCACTCCAACTTTCTGAGACGTATTCTTGGACTCCCAGCTGTGATCAAATATGAAACAATGTGTGCAGAAATAGGCATACACACAATGGAATACTGGGCCTGGTCCACCTCAATAAAGTACTGGTTACGCTGCCATTTTCGCTGCCCTCCATCAAGTCTGCTCGCTGATTTGCTCAAAGACTCCTATAAATCAAGATGGTATCAGTACCTCGAAAAAAAGATTGAATCTTTAGGCATCGAGCTGGAGCCCCTGTACAATTCTAATGAGCAATACATTTTCCATAATATCCTAACTAGACTAAAGGATGTCGAGAGACAAAATATTATGGCAGCTGTAAACAAAATTTGCTCCCCCATATTCTATGATTTAAATATCTTAGATAGCAGAGCCAATTACGTCACTAAATTAATAATCCCAGCCCAACGTAGGGCTTTTATGCTGGCCCGGTTGAATGTTTTTCCCTCAGCATTTGTCTGGGGAAGATATCAAAACATTCCTAGAAACAAGAGATTCTGCAGATGCTCTATGAATGTCCCGGACACTGTAGAGCATATTCTCTTTCATTGCCCATTGTACAGTACGCTCCGTCAACGCGTGCTGTCCCCTCTTTTGGGTGGTCTGGAACCCCAGCAAGGTGAATGTGTGGGATTCTGCCTATCCGACGTTGACCAAAGGGTAACGGCGGGGGTAGCCGGGTTTTTGGTAGTAGTCCTCCAAGGAGCAGGTTAACAAGGAAAACCACTGATTCTATATGTATATATATATATATATGTATGTAGCCAACTGCTGCCTTTTTTATATATATTTCAAGGCTTTTATATGTTATTTTCTCTTTTATGGTTTTATCTGCATAATGCCTAATAAAGGTTTGATTTCAACAACAGTAATGACCTTCAACGAACTATCTTAAGAGAGAATCAAAATTGGCTGTTGGTATATTCAGGCAGAGCATGCCCTCTTTATATACGATTACGTAGGCCTGTTCAGTGGGCAAAAGCTACATAATCTGTTTTACAAATAGTTTGAAGATGCCATTTTAGATTCAGCATCATTAATTTGTTGCTTATCAAGGCTGAAGAATTCTCACTATCTTATCTGCCTTTCCCCCTGTTTTGATGAAAATATTTCCTGGATGCTTACATAGCCCCTGCATACAATTGCAACCCCCCCCCCCCCCCGCAACTATTTGCATGGTGGTTTACAAACAACCACCACCATCAAGGTATGCTAGGCCTCTGCCCCAGGGGACTTACAAATTATAATGGAACAACACCCCATTAAATTCTCTCCCTCCACCCTCATCCCAGCCAACAGATTTGTCAGAAAATTTAATAGCAAATTATGTAAATAAAGGTAATTTATCTGCATAATTATATTAGTTGCTATTCCCATTGTGGTTAAAAATTCCTGCATAATCACTGATGAAAAAAAAAAAAGATAGCAAATAATTTGTCTTGGGTATGTTGCGGAACAATTGCCTCAGATACTGCGTCCTGCGGTTTCATATGGAGTTAAATGGTGGTAGCTAAACTGAATTTAGCTGGCTATGTAAATTACCTAAGTCTTTTCCTATGTGTAAAATGCTATGCTAGGACTTGGCCTGGCTGTGAGATACGTGTTGGCTCAGAAGTGGTCAGACAACAAAAAAAGACCTTGTAGCATCAGATGATTCTTGTATCCTCAAAATACTGTTGTTACATTAAACTGCTTTAGCGATAGAACTGAATACTGTACTCATAAATATTAATATTTTACCTTTAAATAAATCCCTTAAGAAGGACTTGAACCTGGCTTCCGGCTTACAAAGAATTTAATGGATCAGTCGCCATCACGTAATCCTTCATGAGGTCAAATGCTTTTTTGGCACCTATCAGATAGGATTGACATTTGAGGGTTGAGTTATAAAGCCTTGATAATGGAGGCATATAATGGGAAAACTGACAGACCTTTAACTATAGCTGGGTGAATAGCACTGCGGTCTTACAGGGAGAGAGAGAATATCCCACAACTCCCCCCCAAGCCAAACTAGATAATATGGCAGCATATAAAGTAATAAATGGCAAATCACTGAAGCAAAAGTCCATTTTTCCCTAAAATGGAGTGTAACAAATCCTCAGCCTGTGGTCGAAAGACTAAGATTTCCAAAATTTCTGGTGAAAATTGATTGCAGCAGAAGTATGTTTTTGATTGTTAGTACAATACACGTGGGTTGTCACAGAAAAGTATTACTTGGTTAGCCTGGAAGCTCTGGACGTCTCAAAGAAATGATAAGCTGCTTTCATGGGCCATCTTTCTATTAGAGCTAAGGTAGCTTTCTTTTTTAAAAAAAGAAAACACCTTCTCAGGTTGAGAAGGCAGAGGATATTGCCTGCTTCTGATTGGATTTTGTGAGCACTGTCAACCCTCACCGAATCCATCGTGATTTATGACTCTTTCAACCCCTGCACAGAGGAGGGCTTAAATCAGGAAGCCATTTGAGAGCCTGTGAGCTAAAGTGAAATAAATATTTGGGGCGGAGGAGAGTGAACGAATCCAGATGATTCCAGAACAGGATGGGCAATATGCGTGTATGTACTTGTAAAAAACAACAACAACCAAGCAACCCACTGTTGTGGTAATTTTGAGACTTGATTCTTGAAGGGATCTATGTTCCTCAAATAACAGAGCAATATGCAGCCACGCTGTCATGCGGTAACTTCCACCATTATATACTCATGTGACTTGAAAATCACTTCGGTGGTTGGTGCTGGTTACAGAGCAATTGCTATGGTGCATGGGAGAGGGACTAGAAAGTTAAAAGAATGGCCATTACTGTTTGGGTATCACTGATAGTGCACTTTCTTTTTTTAAAGAAAGTACTCTTTTCTTCTGTGCCCGTTGAGAGCCAGTGTGGTGTGGCCAATGTGGTGTGTGGCATTACAGTGGCTATGACCAGGGTCAAATAAATAAGTTTTACTGGTTATTTAGGCAGATGATACTACTCTGTGATGCTTATGGGTCCAGCACTATTACTATTGATGTGGTTTCATGTGACAATGGTAGCATTGCTGTGTGGTGGTTTGTTTTCTTCTTTTTCTGGATATGGTGTTTGGCTTCACTCTTTTTATTACTGATCTGTTAGCCACCTTAAATCTTCTCAGAGAATAAGGAGGGCAGGTTTTTGTTTTTGTTTTAAATGACAATAATTTTTTTTAAAAGGCCTTTTGGTATATTTATAAACATAATTTCTTATTGAATTTTTCCATATTTCATTTTAATTCAATACACATATTCACAACATCTTATTTGCTTAAAGTGAGCTTTGACTTCCTTCTACCTCTCTTTCTGACATCCCTATAGCCTATAACATATCTTTCGCATTCCCATAATCACTTCTTTGTCACCTTAAGAAATCACATTCTTATTTATAAATCAGCATCATAATTTTACATTACAAAACATTTCGCGTTAATGCTACAAACGTTTTTAAACGAGTACAGTTTTCTTTCAAATAATAAATAAATTTGCTCCAGTCCTTTTGATATTTTTCTTCGGGCCGATTCCTGATTCTCCCCTCTCCTTCGCCAACTCCACAAATTCTACCATTTTTATTCTCCAGTCTTCCAATGTAGGGAGTTCTTACTGCTTCCACAAATTGCCTATGTTTTTAAGGATGGGTTATTAATTTATTGGCTTTGGAGTCGCCTATTATACTATACTACTACTACAATTTGACTTGAAATGTTCTTAATGATAACCAGCTATATTCTGTTCATGTCCTAAAATTGGAAGTACTTCAACCACTTTCAGCACTGATGTTTTCAACCTGCAAGAAAGAGTGTTTTGTTTTGTTTCTAACTCTCAAGTGAACATCCACAATCTCCCCTTAAAATTAACAACTGGTTTATGAAAATCCCAGACCATCTTCTAGTTCCACAGAAATTACTACTGTAATCAGAAATTCTCTTTAGCATGAAATGTCAGAGGAGGAAGGGGATATTTCTCAGACATGCTAATTCAGAAACTGCCTATCTGTCAAGCTGCTTGCTTTTGCCCACCAACTTCTAAATTTGCCCTTTCAAAAAACCACATCAGGATTCATTTTTAAAGATCAGGTGAAATGCAATAGTTGGCATCCGTCAGCCTTGAGAGACAATGGGGTGCTCCTCCAGGGGTGAAGTCAAACAGCTACGGTATGTTAGCAACACCAGATTGACCTTCCCAAGGTGCAAGTCTGGTCAGTGTGGATGGAGGTTCTGAGCTGCCCAGCTGAAGACTCCCCTCTCAGCCTCACTGAAGTCCAAAGGAAAGCACAGCAATACGTTTGGCACCAGCTTGGCTGCAGGAGTTGCTGGAAGGAGTCAAATCCAACCTTCTTAGAGACTCCACACCAGATTACTGTAGGGTTTACTTCTTAGACGTAGCCTTTTCTTCTCTTGAAGATTTCCTGCAAGGCAGTGGAGGTTTAGGATCAGAGTTTTCCTTCTTTTTTAAAATTAAAATTTTTAAAATTGATAAGTTCATACGGCCATCCTGATCCAAGCCAAACTGAAGGAAGTGCACGTTCCCATTCTGAACCAGAATTTGGGATTAACAAGTCTCTGCCTCTGAATGTGGCCTTAACCTTTTATCCTCCTCGGTTAAAGGTAAAGGGACCCCGACCATTAGGTCCAGTCGTGGCCGACTCTGGGGTTGCGGCACTCATCTTGCTTTATTGGCCGAGGGAGCCGGCGTGCAGCTTCCGGGTCATGTGGCCAGCATGACTAAGCCGCTTCTGGTGAACCAGAGCAGCGCACGGAAACGCCGTTTACCTTCCCACCGGAGTGGTACCTATTTATCTACTTGCACTTTGATGTGCTTTCGAGCTGCTAGGTTGGCAGGAGCAGGGACCGAGCAATGGGAGCTCACCCCGTCGCGGGGGTTCGAACTGCCGACCTTCTGATCGGCAAGCCCTAGGCTCTGTGGTTTAACCCACAGCGCCACCCGCATCCCACTCCTCGGTTATTGTGCCTCAAATATATCTTCCTTCTCACCGCTTCCTCTGCTTCTGATGCCAGTGGAGGGTGAAGAACTGATAGGGGAGCAGCAATTGCAGGCAGTGCCCTCTGGGACTAGAATTGCTGTCCCTCCCCATCAAGGCAGTGCCTCTGCCCTTAAGAGACCTCAGGGCTCTTGGGTCTTACGCAGCTGTGTAATGAGAAGAGTAAGCACAGTACCAGCTCATGCAGCTGTTGCTTTGAAGCCCTGATGATTCATTACACATCTGACAATTATTCCACATGATGCTTGAAACTGATATATTATTATTTTGCCTCTCTGCATTGCTACTCGTGTCTCCTGATAGCTTCCTGTTTCATTTCCTGAGTGGGACGTTATCAGTTTAATTTCAGCACCGCTTCATCGAAGGGCCCCTTCATGTCTTTTTGGAGTCACTAGAAAACTGATTGCTTCCTGCACTATGAAGGCCGTGTCTGAAGGCCTGAACCGGGTAATGGGGTAAAGTGTTTTTCAGTTTGATCTTCCATTTACCGCATAGGAAATAGCCATGCTGTGGCAGCACTGACACCACAGAGTTAATGTGAGAAGGGATTGTACATTTGAGAAGGCCACTGCTGAAAGCTATTATTGAAGGCCTTTCCAAGATGGCTGTGATGCATGCTGACCACATAAGCTTTGTGCTTCCTTACTATTCTCTGAAAAATATGCTGTCACCCTGTGGAGTCTTAGTGGTCTGTAACTTGGCTTTGGTTATGTGCTATCATAGGGTTGCCAGGACACAATTGACTTGCCGCATTTCGGAAATTCCCCCGGACATCAGTTACGCCTTTGAAATATGGACGTACCTTCCAACATTTCTCTAATGAAAATAGGGACACCGTAGGGTTGTATACTGCTGCAGGAAGCCATATTGACTCATTTCCTTTTTATTGTTCCTGCTGAAAGGAATCTTGGTTAGCAGTACATATACAAGACCTACCTGGATTTTTTTTATTATTTAAAAAAGCTTTGGCTAGAAGTGGGGAAATGTAGGTATACTTTTTAAATAAAATTAGACCTGTATGAGTTTTGGTGGCTTTCCTCTCTTAATTTTCATCTCAACATTTGCATATTTAGGGGCTAAGAAACATAGGAGTTTGGTAATCGTTTCTCAAAATAAATGGTGGTTGATTTAAAACTACTTTCTTGACAGCAGTTTCCATCCTTCTTTGTGTTATCAGACTTTTGGTGCGTGCATAACACATGATCTGGATTCACTGCCGGTTTGCTCACAGGCTAATTAGATACCTTGTAAGAAAAGGGATCACACACACACACACACACACACACACACACACAATCTGATACCACATAGGGAATAGGAGAACATTGTGTTAACAAGGCACGGAATAATTATTTCAGTAGGCTGAGCATAGAAGTGTTCATTCAAAACTTGTGCTTTAAAAGAATGAAATTTGATTGAACTATTTAAAAGTGTCCTTGAAAGGGGAAGAGTGGACCCCTGGGGGGGGGACTTGGAAAATGTGTAATTTTTACTCATCCCTACTTAAAACTCTGGAAATATCAGCTCTCGTGACCTAAACCTCCAGATTTAAATACCTAAACTGTTTTTAAGTCTTATACTGTTTTAAGTCTTATACTGTTTAAATGGACTTGCTTTAGCACACATTTTAATTGTAGATATTTATTTTAATGCTTTGATGGAATTCTTTTATTGTGTATTTTAGGTTTGTGTATTTGTATTTCTTTATAACTGGTTTTATACATGTAAACCACTTTGACTCCACCTTGGCAATTAAGCAGGTAATAGTCATAATATGCTTATTATTGTGCTATTTAAGAAACAATGGGATTGACAAAAAAGCATATATCACAGTGATACTGCTCTCTCAGCCACAGCAGGCGCTGTAACCATCCAACCCCTGATGGCACACTCTTCCATTGTCTCTTGAGACAGACGGATGCCAACAACAAATTATATCAATCTAAGATGTAGTCATATTTTGAAAGTTGTGCACTGTTCTGATCACCCCACCTCAGCAAGGTCATAACAGAGTTGGAGAAGGTAATGAAAGGGGCAACTAATATTGCAATCTTCCACATGATTCCTTGGAAGTAATTCTCCGAGACTAACTCCCAGACAAGTTAGTAGAGGAAGGCTACAATTCTAAATTCACATACTAGTGGGGGATATACCTGAACACACCTCTGAGTAAACATGAATGGGACTACACTGTAAAATAATAAAGGGACTGAAGTTGCAGAGAACAACTACCAGACTTTTAGAAGACATCTGAAGGCAGCCCTGTTTA